CTAGGGTTTTAGCTTTTTCTGCTTTTTGGATTAGTTTTCTAACCTTTAATTACATTATTTATTTTGAAAAGTTAAAAAGTGGTCTCATTTTTTAATCATCAACGAAAACGAAACACTTGCGTGAAAATTTGTCCAATTGCGCACTTTATATTTTTTTAATTAATAGACCAAACCATCTTCTTGATTTGTCGGGACTTGGGTTGAAATGTTCCCCTCTATAGCCAATCAAATGTCATTAGTTATTTGAATTTCTCATGTACTTTCAATTTGGATAATTTGCTTAAGTTATTAAAAATGGTTAATTTGGATTAGTAAATTTCTTTTAAAAAGGTATACACAATTCTTGACTCTTTTTTTTCATACTTACACATACAAAATATTTGCCTTCCTTATGATAGAAATTCTGGATAAAAAACCAAGTGAGTTTTTGGAGCTTGCATGATATATAGTAGCCAAAAAAAGAAACTTCAAACAAGAAATATTTTTACTTACTGATAGTCTGATAACTAATGATGAATATTGAACTACAATTACTCAACTCAAAAATTGAAAAAGAAATCTTAGAGAGTGCTACTTACCAACCCTTAGCGGTGATGAAGAAAAACTGTTTATGTGTGAATTCTATTAATTAAATACATCGTAAATTAGCAGTAAATTAATTAAAGTCAGTGATTATAATTAGTAATTCATATATAGAATTATGGAATAATACAATGTTATTCCATAATTTGTTTTACCAACTATATGCAATTCCTTCTAATATTAATACCATCATTGAGCATCTTTTTTGTGACAAAAATTAAAGGAAATTCTGGCATTGAGTAAATTTCCCAGTTAGACCAAAATTTTCCTTTTTAATGATATTTTTTAGTGAAAAACTTATGATAACATCAAGATATTTTTGTTATATAACTATTGAAACAGATATTGTCGTATTACTATCTAAATAAATAGTTAAGAAACATTTTTTCAGTTACCTAAAAGTTTTTGTATTGTGACTTATAAATTTATCCGACCACAAAGCTGAGCAAGTTATTATTTCAGTTCACTTTTCGTTGTTGGTATTAAAACTAGAAATCTTGAAGATATTTTTTGTAAGTGATCACTAGCTAGTATACCGGTTAAGCTAGTGATGTAAGATAATAGTCGAGAAACATACAAAACCTTATTCCTCTTTTTTTTCCTTTTTGTTCCAAATTATAGAAATTGCCGTTAGAAGAAGAAGCTTCTAAGCACGTAACCGAAGGAAGATATAAATGTGCGAGTATGAAAATGCGTGTGCCGTAAGGACAAACGTCGATATCGAGAAGACCGTC